GATTGATACTGTTTCCAAACCAACTGTTGAATTAAAAGGAAAAAACATTCCTCCGATGAAATCGTGTATTATGCATGAATATATTAAATCATAGGTAAGCTTTAAGTAGAGGTTGTCTTTCTTTAAACTTCCAACGCTTCCAGAATCAAAACCAATAAGAGTGATCCGGACTTGTGAAGCTATATCAGTATGTATAGCGTAGTTTGTGCACGATATGTGGCAACGTCATATTGATTGAAGTTTATTTCAATTATTTGTTTGTTGAATTTCGCACAAAGCTGCTCGAGGGCTTTCTGCGCTAGCCGTCCCTAATTTAAAAGTGACAAGAGGGAAGACAGCTAATCAACACCACCCATCGCCAATATTTGTGATGCACTTTAATCGATTAGTGGGATTTAGTGTCACATTATAACACACCCACGGCTAAAAGGGCGAGCATGTTCGATGATGTGATTCGAACCCCTAACATTGCAAGTCGAGATCCCTAAACACTAGAGCGACCTAGTTCGAGCCGAGCAGCATTCAAAAGGCTAATTTGTATAAAGCAGAATGCATTTAATATGCGTTCTGTAATAACTTAGTACATAAGAGTTGCTTAATCATGAATTTAACATTAATATCACCGAAAAGAATCCAGAAGAACCAGTGTAGATGACTTGTTACGATAACTAAAAATGTTAATACTGACAGTTACCACGTGGCATGATTTTGAGTGTGCATATCTAATGCCCTCTACAGAATGAAATGTAAAACATTCCTCTTTCTATCGTATTATATTTTATGTATATTATTTATTGTTATCTAGATTCTAGAGTATTGTAGCATGAAATGTTATACAGTTACTGTGTACAGCACTGTAGAGAAATAATGTATACTATACAGGGTGGTCCAAAATTATATTTTCTGTTTTAAAATTTAATAATTAAATAACTAAAGAAATACAACCATGCAGTTTTCACCATCCTGTAGCCCAACTGAAACAGTTTTTATTGACGTGTCAGTAGACTTCTACGCGATTACCATTAGTGGCTCTCAGTACGTCCAACCGATATTCGGTTTCAGTCCACGTTCGCTGCAACGTGTCTACAGTTACAGTGACGATACCATCTGTTATCCTGGTCTTTAGCTCCGTGATGTTTGCTATAGGTGTGCGATACACGATATCCTTAACATACTCCCAAAGAAAGAAGTCTAGTGGAGTGATGTCTGGCGAGCGCAATGGCCACGGAATTAGCCTACTGTTTGAGTTGGGCTACAAACTGCGTGGTTGTATTTCTTTAGTTATTTAATTATCAAATTTTAAAGTAGAAAAGGTAATTTTGGCCTACCCTGTATTTGAACCATATCTTGCGAATTTCTTTATCTCTAACTTTATTTTAGTCGCCAATCGCATAATAGTTCAACTTTTGTTCCCGGCTTCAAGAAAAAAAAATCATTTAGAATAATGGCTCTTAACTACTATGCTGACGGTGTATCAACGTAACTAAATGTAGTCACATTAAAGTCTCGAAATGACAGTTTCTATCTATTCACAAATGTATCGACGTACTTAAATATGTCTTGCTACTTCTACATTCTTTTCACCGAAAGCACAAAAGTATCGTGGTATATGTGATTGTCATACACTCAATAATAATATAGAGGGAACTTATATCCATGGCACAGTTTGTTTGTTTGTTTTCAATTTCGCGCAAAGCTCCACGAGGGCTATCTGCGCTAGCCGTCATTAATTTAGCAGTGTAAGACTAGAGGGAAGGCAGCTAGTCATCACCACCCACCGCCAACTCTTGGGCTACTCTTTTACCAACGAATAGTGGGATTGACCATCACATTATAATGCCCCCATGGCTAAAAGGGTGAGCATGTTTGGTGGGACGGGGATTCGAACCCGCGACCCGCAGATTGCGAGTCGAGCGCCCTAACCACCTGGCCATGACACAGGGTGCTAAAGATCAGTACAAGACCTTTTGCGAGTTAACGTCAGACAACTTAACTTGTTAATAAGTTATTGAATCCAACGTAATTGCAAAGTCTCCTTAGAATCTAATATCTAATTGATGAGTTATTTTTGTTGTGTTTTTTTTTCTGTTCCACAAGCGTCAGACCAATGTAATAGTATTATTCTCCGAGAAGATTGTTATAAGTTAAGGTATTGATTAAATTTTGAACTGTGGTGGCTTCGAGTCGAAGATAAACGATTTTTTGTTTAAAAGGAGTGTTTCTATGATCAGTTGGCTATTTTGTTCGATGGAATTAAAACTATATTTGTAGTTCATGCACCGAGTAACTTGCGTTTATCACTGATCTCTTTCTACTCTTCAATTTATTATCAGTGCGTATGTATTCGAATTTACAAAGCAATTTTTTAGAACTGTTGGTATTGCAGAAATAAAATGGAACTTTCGAAATCGATTAGTTTTTTTGTGTTTTTTTGTCGGGAAAATGTATGTTTTTCTAGTTGTAAAAACTTGAAGGTTCTCCTTTCTTCCTGTTTGTTGAAGATGAAACTAAACATCGCGGGCGTGTATTGACCCTGCATGTAGTAGAGCTCTGGATTTCGGAGCTGACGAACCAGGTTCGAATCCTTTCAATGTCTTAAAAAAATTCCCTCACTTTCAGTTGTGGGTGGTTTACAAGAATGACAGTTAATCTCTCAGCGTGGATGGTGGGTGGTAGTTTGCTGTGACTGATTGCCTTCCATCTGGTTAGTAGTTCGAAATTAGGGACGGCGGCAGATAGCATTAGTAGCTTTGCCATAAAATATTAATACTTACACATCGTACTTATTCATCCTTCTGAAGGAGAAACATCGAGAAATAATATTGGGTACTAAAATTATATCTATTATAACAACACTCAGTTTTTGTCTGTTCTGAAAACCCTACTATCTAAATACGCATGCGCGTGCAATTCATTTCAATGGGTGTAAACAAAAAGCGGTCGTAAATATACTTTAGTAGACATTTTGTAAAGCAACATATTAAAAGCTTATTAAAGTTTTTATAAAAAGGTCTAACGTTAGGTCATAAAATAACATTATAAGTTTATTTATTGATATTATTGAGTCCAGTAAAGTTTAGCGGTAACTAAAGTAAAACAAAAAAACATACACAAGTTACAGTGTTAATTTATCTCTTTGTCAAATAAAGGCTTAACTAATGTTAGGTCTAAAGAAATTGGACTTATAGATTTTGGTGTTTTCAATTAGAATTCTTTTGTATAATTCTAGAAATCCTGTAGTTAAAAAAGTGCTGTTGCAATAAAGAGACTGCAAATGTTTTGGTGGTCTTTGCGAGTATATATGTATATATATATATATATGTGTGTGTGGAACTAAAACCTGCTAGGAATGTTGCACTGTATACAATAGATACGGTACTTTACCAACAATCTGTTTTCGGGAGGAGTTATCTGTTATTTGCATTGATAATGTTTGTTTGTTGAAACCCTGACATAAGTGCAATCGATGTTCCTCAGATACACACAAATATATATATCGTTCTTGGTACACTAATGTTTCGTGAACTAAAGTAATTTATTCTCCACAGACAAATTAAAAAAACAAATCTTTTCTTCATAATTCGTTATCTAAAAGATGGATCAAATGATTTACCCACAAATATAAATACGAAACCCCATAAATAAATACAATGCCCAACCCTTCAAATATATATATTTTTTTAAAACATTTTATGAGCTTCTAGTTAGGCCTACAGAGTTTGAACTCTGCTTTCTGTTGTGGTATGTGAAGCATGCCCAAGTGTTTCTTTTCCTTTTAGATAAAAAAATGAAATTCTGTTATTTACCAAAATTTCAAACGTTTTTGGCACTTGTGCGTGTTTTGGCGCACGTGTTGAATGTATTGCATGCAAATAGGTGGCTTTGAAGTGCGATGACCTTATTCTTGTACTAGTCAAACATGTTAAGGGTCACTCTTTCTTTCTTTTTTCTTTTTTTTTTTTTGGTATTGCTAGACTTTCCCACGGAAGATGGGGTTGGAATATTCCTTATACTTTTGTTAATTTCTGTAGATTTTTAAATAAACTGTTTGTAATTTACCTTAGTGTTCAATCTCTTGATAAAACGTTTAGAAAAAAACGACTTTTATATTCCAGATATTTATAAAAGAAGTTTTATATTTTAACCAACATTTCGCCTTTGCGGGTTCATTAGGGTTAATACACACAACTGTTTCCTAAATTCAGTAAGGTCAGACATTCAGTTAAATTCCGAAAGACATTTTCTTCCAGTCCTCAAGTTAGAGCGGGTATTGCTCTTACTTCTAGGAAATTAGTACATCTGAGAACATCACACTAGTAGACCAATGGTCAATATTAAGGTTATGGTCCTTTTGTACAATCAGTTAGGATATGTATCCAAATTAGTCAAAATGAAGTTTTTCCCCCACCTTATTTTTAGCAGAAACCGCTGATGATTATAAAAAACATCATCAAGTATGTATATCTTAACTACCCTCCTTTTTACAGCTTCTCGAATCCGATATGAAATTACGCAAGGAAATATAGGGGGCGCTTTTGCAGTGAAAAATGAAACTGGTGCTATCTACGTTGCTGGACCTTTAGACTATGAGACGAGACAAAAGGTAAGTTGTTGTTGTTGTTTCGTAAAAAAATGTTATCTAATTCAAGAAAAAAGCTCACCAAGTTACGCTTATCTTCTGAACCTCAAGTTTCTGAAGACATCAGAGTATTAAGTATTAATCAGTGTATTATGTCAAGAACAAGGAAGTCAATTTACAAACGCCCCTCTCCAGTGGCACAGCGGTATGTCTGCGGAGTTACAATGCTAGAATCCGGGTTTCGATACTCGTTATGGGCAAAGCCCAGATAGCCCATTGTGTATCTTTGTGCTTAATTACAAACAATTTACAAACGTCAGAATGTAAATTTAATGTTATAATTACAAAATTTCAAGTACAGTAGAGAGAGGGATCAAAGAAAACAAAAATTAAGATTGTAACACTTGCACAATATTTCAAGTACAGCTGTCGTAACCCTTTATTGCGGTCTGTAACGTACAGTTAACAAATCTATATTTGTGCTTAATACACATCCACATGCTTGAATTCTGTTGTTGGATGCTGTTACATTCAGATAACAGTCTAGATAAGTCATGGATTTTTTTTTTTTTGGTTCCTCAATTGAACAATGAAATATTACACTATTTGCATCAGGTTTTGTTTCGTACAGGTATATAGATATACATCAGTTAAAGCTGTTTTAGTTTTTACGTCATAAATGATACAAAAAAAAGCACCTGGTTGTGATCAATCGCTTAAAATAAGAAGAGTAGTGATAGCAAGTTTTATTCGAAATTGATACAAGTTACGTATCAATTGCACTTATCCAAATTTTCGTGTGATATTACAAATGAATATGAACAATTATTTCGTGCATTATTCTTGATATTATGAATGAAACAAATGCTCGTATTATAAGATAAAAAAATCATATGTTGTTACCTTACAAAAATATATCATTTCCAGTCTATCCATAGGATTCGGAACGAACTTGAAAGTGTATGTGTGGGAGACTAAAATGTAAATGTGTAGACCTACATATTGGTGAGGGGAGGAATTGACAGGTTTTTAATGGAAGTCCAACCTAGCATTCCCTCTTTCTCATATGTGAATCTGACATACATAGCAATGGACTTTCGCTGGAGGCAGTTTTCCAGACAGTAGATTCAATAACTTCTTTTGTAGATAATGCATCGCAAATAGTGATGTCCCATATCATATACACACAGGTATAAACGTTTGGTCATATCCATGCGTACAGATATAAATTTAACTGGATATTCACGTCATTAACCTGTAACATCAAGTCAAGTACAATTCCACCTATTACTATCCAGCCCACTCAGTCCTTCATTCCTGTTTTCAATATATATGTAATTGTGCAGTGAAAGATGGAGAGGTATGTTCATTTACATAAAGTTTTCATGATGGCAAATACTGATTTATGAAAAACAGAGAATGTAATATGTAAAATGAAACATATAGAAGAGAGAAGACAGGGGGTAAAAATTGGCCTAAAGGTATTTAATATTTTCGAACTGAACGGCAGGTTATATGCCACATGGGTAAACGGCCAGGTCAGAGACCCTAATTTAGAACTATTAATCAGAAGGATGGCTATCATACACTGGCATCCGCCTCCTACGCGGTTGTTCTTGACCATATAGCGAGATTAACTCTCATTTTTATAATGCACCCACATCTGAAATGTCAGAAAAGTTTATAATTTATGTTGTTGTTGTTCAACGGCATTTTGTGATCTCGAACCTTGGACCCTGCGATCCGTAGCCCGGCACGCTAACCTACAATCCCACGACTGGAAGGAACGCGCGTTATACGAAGATGTAAAAAGAATTAACGGAAGTTCAAATAATGACAAAAAAACACCATTCTATCTTTCCATAAAAATATATGTATATAAACGATAAATTTTACCCTAAGATAGCTGATTATATTGTACGTCTACCGCAATTACATCACTTCTCGTACGTTCCACCAGGAAATTTTATTTTTTAGAGCAAAATTCTAAGAAGGCACTATTATAAAATTCACTTTAGAAATCTAATATTGAATTTAAAACGTATAATAAATGTTTTATTGGATTAAAATGTTGCATTTTCTTAAAGGATGAACGACAAAAACACTGCTCCTCACGTCACATGTGCAGATGATTGCTTCTGCCAAAAGCAACACGCTGATTGAATCATAGACCACTGTGCTCAGAGGCAAATAAAACTTTAAAATGATTTAATCGTTCAAAATGTTTAAAATAAGAAAATAAAGGAAGAAGAAATGAAAACCTTCCGGATTTTTTTTTTTATATTTTGTTATCTATATTTGTAATTCTGTATTATTAAACAATGAATTTAACTTTATCTATATGCATTAGAATAGAATATATTTCAGAAAAATAAATATATTTTTGGTGATTTTTGTTTCTCATTTTCTAGCATATATCTTGAACTTGCAATTATGATCTATTATAGGAATTATAACAAGTGCAGTTAGATAGAAATTTTACACAAACGTCAATCCACAGCAATCTACATAATAGAATGAGGTGTAGAAGGCTCAAACCAAAACGAAAAAGAAAGAAAATCTATTACAGAAAACAACATAATATGTTTTCTTTTTCTCTCTCTCTCTCTCTGTCTTTGCCGAGAAATAAAGAAGAGTGACATAGTTAATTACAAATTCCTGGATGAATCTTTATTTTTAATTATCCTGGAAATGTTCAAAAATATTAACTTTTAATCGATATTCTAATGTTTACAATGGCGGAAACGCTTTAGAAATTCTAAATGTGCAAACATGCTGATTACAAAAGGAATGGTGAAGATTGAAATTAGTTCTAGCCGCTAGCGATTATCCTGAATTGTTATGGCCGTTCACTACGCAAGCCCGAGGGATTATAACATTAAATTTCGGGGTTCGATCCCTGTGGTGTACCAAATCAAATAATCGCTGCGCTGCTCGATTTAGATAAATATAACACAAGGGGTCCCCAAAACGAAACTAAGATTATCTTAATGAAATTGATCCAGCGTTTACATTTACGTTTGAATGGCTTTATACACGTGTTTTGGAAGAATTTTACATCTCGATCATAGATAGATATCATACTAATGAACAAGACCTTTGTTTACTGGCTAGTATGGAATCACCCTTCTGTTAACATTTCAGTGTAAAGCACTTCTTTTAGTCCGAATAAAACAATTTCTGTTAAAATCCCTGTATTGGAATATTTGTAAACCAGCCAACAAATAAGTATATCTGTTTTAAGAGGTGAGTGTAACAACACTATTCTGTTAGCTTTTCAGGCCCGGCATGACCAGGTGGTTAGGGCGCTCGACTCGCAATCTGCGGGTCGCGGTTTCAAATCCCCGTCCCACCAAACATGCTCACCCTTTCAGCCATGGGGGCGTTATAATGTGACAGTCAATCCCACTATTCGTTGGTAAAAGAGTAGCCCAAGAGTTGGCGGTGGGTGGTGATGACTAGCTGCCTGCCCTCTAGTCTTACACTGCTAAATTAGGGACGGATAGCGCAGATAGCCCTCGTGTAGCTTTGCACGAAATTCATAACAAACCAAACCTGTTAGCTTTTCTGTGGAAAAAAAACTGTTGTTCACCAACCAATATAAAAAGACACCAATGTTAGCCTACATTGGAAAAATACACATGTGTTTGCTTTCCACTGAAAAAAAAATGTCTTTTTAATTGTTCTGCATAACAACACACTTCTCTTAATTTACCAATAAGAAAAGACACCATTATTAAAAAATCAGTATAAAAAACACATCTCTTATAACCGCACGGTATGGAAAGACACCTTTATTAACAAGTCAGTATAAAACACATCTCTGCGCGGCTGAAAGTATCGCGAAGGAATGACATGTATCACAACTACGTTTGGACATCGTTTGGCTTTCGTAGGTAGTATAATGCCACAGAAGATTGGTCGCTTTTGGGAAGAGTATGTAAAAAACAAATTTCGATACATTCAGTCCGGAGACAGAATTTCCAAGCGAGGAATATCTCTTTTACTTAATGACATTAGAACACAAAGGGTTAAGGATCACCATGGGGTACCAGAACCACCCAGAAAAAGATCTGGAACAAGCCGTACCCCAGGCGTGGTAACCAGTGTTCCACAGCTTGTAACAGGTGAGGTTTCACGAACACAAAGCTGAGTGGCTAAAGCTGCCTACGTGCCCCAGGCAACAGTAAACAACAATATCAAGAATGATCTCTCTCTAGAAAAGCGACACAAGTCACCCACCCGTACACAAGTTTAATTCCATGGCGTACACGTTTAACCGTGGCATACCTCAATCAGCTGAGTAATGAAACGGATATGGTTGTATTTTATACGAAGACAATACCGGTCAAGTCATTGGACGTGGCGAAATGGATTGAACGATGCGGTGAGGCCCCAAAGTTGATTTAATAGAATGTACCTCCAGTAGCGGACTTTGCCTTAAAGTAGAAAACTATACCTTCAGGCCTTACCCTACGAGGGGCCCTCAAAAAATGTCTTGTTTTTGTTTTTTTACTTGCAGGGAGGCCACAAGCTAAACATAGCTTAGGGCCTCGGCATGTCTAAGCCCGCTCCTGTCAACCTCTAAAAATCAATGTATATAATTTGCCATAATAGATAGTTGATATTAACTAAATGGCTTATATGAAAATTTACGCTATCCCGTTAACATGCTGTTATAAAAATGCATCTTCAGTTACTAGTCAGTATAAAAAAAAATCTCTGTTAACCAACTGGTAATCAATGTAAAAAAAAACAATACAAATCTCTGTTAACCAATTGGTAGTCAATATTAAAACAAATCTCTGTTAACCAACTGGTAGTCAATATGAAAAACAAATCTCTGTTGACTAACTGATAGTCGATATAAAAATACAAATCTCTGTTAACCAACTGGTTGTCAATATAATTTGTTTTGTTTGTTGTTGTTGTTTTTAATTTCGTGCAAAGCCACACGAAGGCTATCTGCGCTAGCCGTCCCTAATTTAGCAGTGTAAGACTAGAGGGAAGGCAACTAGTCATCACCACCCACCGCCAACTCTTGGGCTACTCTTTTACCAACAGTAGTCAATATAAAAAAATCTGTTAACCAACTGGTAGTCAATATAAAAAAAATATCTGTTAACCAACTGGTAGTCAATATAAAAAAATCTGTTAACCAACTGATAGTCAATATAAAACAAATCTCTGTTAACCAACTGGTAGTCAATATAATAAACAAATCTCTGTTAACCAACTGGTAGTCAATGTAAAAAAACAAATTTCTGTTAACCAACTGGTAGTCAATATAAAAAACCAATCTCTGTTAACCAACTGGTAGTCGATATAAAAATACAAATATCTGTTAAACAACTGGTAGTTAATATAAAACAAATCTCTGTTAACCAACTGGTAGTCAATATAAAAAACAAATCTGTTAACCAACTGGTAGTCAATGTAAAAAAAAACTAATTTCTGTTAACCAACTGGTAGTTAATATAAAACAAATCTCTGTTAACCAACTGGTAGTCAATGTAAAAAAAACACAAATCTCTGTTAACCAACTGGTAGCCAATATAAAACAAATCTCTGTTAACTGACTGATAGTAGTAGTTTTTAAATTATGTATTATCGTAAATTATTTTAAAGTTTATTTACAATAATTTAGTTCTATGTTTTAGTTAAAAAATAAATGAATCCCTTTTCATAATTGTTTTTCCTTCACATTTTAATTATTAAAGCACGTTTAAAAATCTTGTTTTAAGGTGTTATAATTTTTATAAATTTGGTATTAGAATTTAACTTGTGTGATATTTTATAAGTTTTGTAAAGGAGAACACCATTGTAAACATATAGAAATCTAGTAACTCTGTATCAGAATTATTTTAGAATTCCAATTGTTTGTTTGTAATTAAGCATAAAGCTACACAATGGGCTATCTGTGCGCTGCCCACCACGGGTATCGAAACCTGGCTTCTGACGTTGTAAGTCCGCAAACATACCGCTGTGCCACTGGGGGAATTCCGATTGTTATCCTAGTGGAATCACTATAAAAGTAATGTAAATTTCTAATTGCATCTTTGTAACTATTGAGGGATAAATATAAATCTGTTTAACCACGAGTATTTAATATTAGCACGTTACATGTATCACTATGAATCAGTTTTACAGCAGTACTAACACTAAATAAATCTGTTTAATCACGAGTATTAAATATTAGCATGTTATATATACTACTGTGATGGCAGATCTTTGGTTGTAGTATCACTAAATGGTGATACTTGTAAAAGTTACTGCCTAGTAATGGTTAACACGATTTCTGTCTTCGTCTTATTGTGAAATAGTTAAGATGCGTGATTGGTATACATACAAGAGGCAGTTTTGTTTACGAAAAACATATATTTAGTGTTAACCTTGGACCAATATTAGATTGAAAATTATTTGAGCAAGGACGGTTCTCTTGCTCCTTGTTTATCATGAAAATTATTTGTAATAACAGATTATGATACATTAATAATTTCTACCGTATTTTATTTAAAATAAAATCTACTTTCCTATAATAGGTGAAGTTACAAATCTGCCACATTCTTCATTATTAATGATCAACGTTTATCATGCACAGTGCTTTCCTTTTGTTCGTGTTTAATAATTAATTAAATAATTAAAAAGTACCACTTTAACAGCTGTTAGAAATTATAAATTCCGGTTTTTCTACTCCATGTTGATAGTGGTCTCTTCTTAGACACCTGTCAGTTTGTTTGTAGTTTAGCGCATAGTTACACAATGGGCTATTTGTGCTGTGCCCACTACAAGTATTAAAACACGGCTTTCAGCGTTATAAGCCTTCAGACTTATCGCCCAGCCAATGGGGGGGGGGGGGGTATACGCTTGTCAGAAAATTTAGACTCGCTATCTTCTTAATATTAGGAGCGTACTGAAGAAAAAATTTATTTTGTTGTTCTCTTGCAATTAATGAACGTATTTATTTGTATTGTAAAGATTGCAAGTCCTTAGGCTAAGGTCAGTGGAGTTTTAACGTTCGCTTTTCGTTTAACGACGTTTTTGTGTTGTTGTCTTTTATTATTCTTTAGTACAAGCTGCGCTTGGTAGCTTCAGATAACCTTAACGAGAACTACACCACGGTTGTTATCCGTATTAAGGACGTGAACGATAACCCGCCCGTCTTCGATCGATCCACCTACGAGACACAGATTATTGAGGAAGATAATAGGGATTTACCCAAACGCGTGCTACAGGTAAGTTTGTACTGACTGTCCTTTTTATGCTAAATACCTCTGTTCTTGTATGCCGTGGTGGTCTTGTCCAGTTATATTGTTGACATTGGCAGATATCAGATATCCATGTGTTTGCATCACTATTCTACTAGAAGTCACTTTAAAGTGTAAAACTGACATTCGAAACAAAGTCAGTGTGATTTATCTTTAAAATACAGAAACGAACTAATTTATTTGAAAAGGATGAAAATTCATACACTGGTTGGTGATCCACACTAAGCCTTGTACATGTTACCAAAACATAAAAAATAAGTTTCAAATACTATTTACATGCGATATAATATACTAACTGAAATAAGAAGAAGAGATTTCTGTAGAAAAGATATTTGATTAGTTGACTGGTTTTTAAATAACTTTTTTTTTGTATTCTTGTTTTACTGAACGTGTTTGTTTCTTTTTTGTTTTGTTCCCCTTCATCTTTGTTTTTCATTTTACACCGAGTGATATGAATTACTTTATAGGTTGTTTACAAGATAACATTATTGAAGATTTGTTTGTTTGTGTGTTTTAATGCAAAACCACATAGATAGGATAACTGCGCTCTTTCCATCGCTGAAGGATTGAACCCTGGATTTTAACGTTTTAAGTCCGTAAGCTAATCGCTGACCCACGAAGGGGGACGAACGTACTGAAGGAATATCAAAGATTATTTATGCTAAATAATGTAAATCAAATTAGATATTTTGTTAAAATGAAATGCAAAACTTGGCTATACATATTTTATTTCTAACACGTTTGAACTGCAGGATATTTCACAAACATGAATGTATGAATACTAGGGATGAACGGGTACTCGGCCAGATATTCGGCCCCGGCCGATTATTGGGCTACTCGGCAATAATCGGCTCCGGTCGAGTGTCAAAGTAAGACATCTAAGTCCTAATCTTTGTGGTAATTAACACACTACTGAAAGTTACAGTCAATAATTGGTTTAGTTTTAAAAAAAAAAAAAACGTGTTCCGATCAACAAAAACTGAACGCCCGCTGAAAGTCGTGGATTCGGAGAACAATAGGGGTTAATAACGGGCATGGCTTGAGGAGTGGATTTCTGGGGTAGGTGGGGGTTTTGAGAACAATAGGGGTTGGGGTTTGAGAAGTTGGGGCAAGGCATTGAAAGTTGAAAGTAAAACTTGTTCTCTTGGTGATTATTCGGTTAAATGTAATAACCGTCAATTGTTTTTGTTTTTAATTTTTGTGTATGTTGTTGTTTTTTTTGGGGGGGTAAGGGGAGAACCCGGTCCGGGTTTACACCCGGCCCCGGCCAAAGCTTAGTGACCGGGTATCCGGTCCCGGAATTCGGTCAAATTTTACTACCCGTGTATCCCTGATGAATACATTAGTTGAGTGTAAGCGCGGAATTTTTTCTTTTAGCGGCCCAGTGATTAGCGTGCCGGACTGTTGATCCGAGTTTCCCTGGTTCGCGCCTCGTTACCGCCGTAGATGAGTAGCCACGGATTAGCTAGGGCGGGGCACATCCTACAAGTGTATTTGTTGGTTCCTATGTCTAAATACGTCATAGGTAGCACTATTTTTTTTAAGCCACCTGTAACTTGCTCCTTAGCTTCTATGCACCTCATGCCCGTCCATTTCAACTCCAGGCTCACCCAAAATGTTGTACCTGGCTACGCCACTGTGTAGCCGCCAATAAAAAAACAAAAACAAACTGCATACCGCATTTTTGGGGCCATGGATGCATTATAAGAGTGACGGTCGGATCCAAGTATTCTAATAGAGTAGTCTACGAGTTTATGGTAGATGATGTTGACTGGTTATCTTTCCTTCAAAACTAGGGTCGACTAGGATATAATTCCTTCAAGTATCTTCCACACACACACACAAAATAATAATCACATGCTAATTTATGTAAAGTGTGGTTGAACAGCATAGATTTGGTTACTTCTGGGCCTTGAGCACGTGCTATAATGTTTTTAATAACAACTTTTCTTCTCGAGGTTCTTGGGATCTAACCCTTAATGGATGATAGGTATTAAAAGTATTGTTTAAACAAGCTTAATTTAATCGTTGTATCGTTTAAAGTCGTTCAAATACAGTTGCTCTTAAATTAAGGGTTGTCTCAAACTCATCTTTTAAAACAACCATTGATTGTCATAAATTAGGGATGTCTATTGTGAACAAAAACAGAGATTCGAATATTTGATATCAGTAAATCGTAAACAAAGTGCTTCCATATACATAAAATAAAAGATACTGGTTATTTGGTATCTTTTCAAAAACTGGTTATCTAGAAACTTAATCGAAAGATCATTTTATATTGGCAATTACCGGTTAATGAACCATTGCTTACTCAATATCTTCACAAAAAATTTATGTAAACACGATCTAATATTACAAACAATGAATCGTTGTCAAAACATAGAGCACTTGAAAAAAGCAGTTCCTTACTTCTCAACATTCTGATCGCACTAAATCATATTTATCCAGTCAAACTTAAAACTAAAAGTTCCATGTAGTTCTCCCAGTAAAAGAACTACATTAAACAAACTCATATTTACCTTGATTTTAGATGTTGACAGGTAGTCTTATAATTAATATTCAGCAACATTTTTGTAGATTTTGCTCGCAGCTCATGTGAGTAACTCGTCATCAAAGAATTAAGGGGATGTCAGATTAATCTTTTAGCAGAAGGCACTCTACCTTGAAACATAGAATTACCCCGGGGGAGAATGTTTCTGATTATGTTCTAGCTTCACTTTATTATCAATGACATGTATATTTGAAGTGATATCTCCTCGTCAACTTTAAGATCTAAAGGTACCTTCAAATAAATTAACACTCTGAACTTTCTGCGCCTGATAACTGCCAATTTATTGGTTTTTTACGAGGTGATCTCTGTCTTCCTCATGCATTTCTGGACACCTGTTGAATGTTTGATATTGCATAGTCATTTTTGCATAATGGGCCTTCTTTTACGACAAAAATAATAACGTGAAAAAAAATGGCGTTTCTATTATGAACCACAATATTCGAATGAGATCGTAGAAAGACTTGGGGTTGTCCTTATGCCTAAATATTTTGAAAAAGTAAATCCCCCTGTAGCTCATCGGTAAGCTTGAGGACTTATAAGACTAAAATTCGAGGTTCGATCTCCGAAAATAGGCAAACAAGTACTAAAAAATATTTATTCAAGGAGAGCATGTGCAGCCAGCATGTAGATGAACTGAGGCTTGGCATGTTTTCCTGAAACAAAAAGCTTAAAATATATAGGCTGTAAACAAAAAATGATAGACGAAATGAATATATGAAAAACCAGTTGTCAACAGGAAATTGGATGTTTGTTTTGAATTTTGCGCAAAGTGACACGAGGGCTATCTGCGCTAGCTGTCCATAATTTAGCATCTATAGACTAGAGAGAAAGCAGCTAGTCATCACTACCCTTCGCCAACTCTTGAACTACTCTTTTGCCATCGAATAATGGGATTAGCCGTAACTTTATAACGTCCCCACGGCATAAAGGGCGAGCATGTTCTGTGGCAGAGGTTTGAACCCAGGATAGGCAGTGTTTGTGCTGCCGATTGACTGCTCGCTATTCTCCATGTACAGTGTAAAAACTTTGATTATCAGTTAATAAAGCGTGGCATTCACATAATCGACTTCAAGATGTCATCGAAGAAAAAATGAAAGGTATATTAAGACCTGATCTTATCATCGTTTAGCTAGTGTCGATATAAGTTATCTTCCCCTGTAATTTTTTTATTAATTCTAAATTGGACAACGGTGATATAGTCTTTGAGTTTGCATTTGGACCTATTTTCTTTGTAAAGATTTTTTGTTTATGGAATTTAGCAAAGGGTTACTAGATTGGTTATCTTTGCTGGCATTCCTTAATGCCCCCCAGTGGCACAGCGGTATGTCTGCGGACTTACAACGCTAGAATACGGGTTTCGATACTCGTGGTGGGCAGAGCACAGATAGCCCATTGTGTAGCTTTGTGCTTAATTACAAACAAACCGTCCTTAATTTTAAAGTGATAGACGGACGAGAGGGAAGGCAGCTTGTCAACACCACACACTCTCAACTCTTGACCTACTCTTCAACAACGAATAGTAGAATTGACGGTCACGTTATAACGCCTCCACGGCTGAAAGGGTGAACATGTTGGCCCTATCGTAAAGCAAAATTATTTGTTTCATAATTAACGTATCCACTAATTGGTGGAAGGAGAGCTTTAATATTTGTACCTTTTTATTGTGAATAACACGCACTTGTGTGCTTTTCGAAACGAGCCGTCCTCTTTGTAAGGTAACGTTGTGGTAAATATCAAAAGGTTTAAACTTGTATATATACCTAGAAGAATAAGTTAGTTCGTATGATTATGGCCGGGCGTAGCCTTGTGGTCAGCTTACCGGACTTTGGATTCATTGATTAATGGTTCTCATCCTGTTTTCACGCTCTGCACTTTGGGGCCATGTGTGCCTTATAAGAGTGGCGGTCAAATCCTACTAATTTATTAGAATATTCCAAGAGTTGTCTAGCTGGTTTTCCTCTTAATCTATCAGTTCACACCAAGGGACGGCTAACGTAGATACGCATGGTGAATATTTGAAAAACAATATTTGCAACAGATGTAGCTTTGCGCAAATCTCTGTTTTAATTAAGCTTATGTTCTAGGACAAATTAGATTGGAATGGTTACTAAAAACGTGGGTGTTTTAGAAGTACCAAAATATCCTGTTATGCATATTACGTCATTTCAGATTTCGCATGCTTCTATAACCTTAGTTTTTTGGAAATGCTTTTATTATTATTTTTGGTTTTATATTCACTATTCAAATCCTACACGTGGAATGTTAAATGGAATTGTTAATATAAACACGTACGTGCCGTATTTTTTCTTTTAAAACTGAGACCCAAGATCTTTGAAAATTTATTGCTCTAGCGGATTTCGGCGAATTATATGCATGGCTTAGCACTTCGAATACTAACAAGACTTGATTATCCCCATGGCAACTAGGGGAAAAAACTACTGAACAATCAAAAATCATCAGCTGCTGTATGGATTGCATTAATAAGGTTGTGCTTCTGTAGGTCACAGCCACAGATGGTGATCGGGACCGTCATCAGGCAATTGTCTACTTTCTGACAGGCCAAGGGATCGAAGACAATAACCCAGCCCAGAACAAGTTTGCAATCAACAGCTCGACAGGAGAGATCTACGTTCTTAAACCGTTAGACCGTGATCGCCCACTGGGCCGCTCATATTGGCGCTTTACTGTATTTGCTGAAGATGAGGGAGGTAATGGGCTGGTGGGTTATGCAGATGTTCTTGTTAAACTTAAAGATATCAACGATAATGCACCCATTTTTCCGTCAGCTCTGTATGTTGGCAATGTGACGGAGGATGGGCCAGCAGGTAAGTTAATTCGAAATGTAACGTGTAGTATTTCAATAGCTAGCTTGAGAATTGTAAGCCGAGAAGAAAACAAATAATATCTCACTCAGCATTTGAATAGGATTCAAGTTTTTCTCTAAAGATAGTGATATATTGAAAATTTGATTTAAAGATAACATAATTTTTACTTACCCATAACATTTGGAAGTTGTTGTTGTTGTTGTTGTCTTTACAAACTAACTAATAAGTGGCCATAAATTTTACAGCATACATAAATAAAAAGTATAAATTTTTAAATTCATTTTCCATCAAAAGTAAATTGTCAAAACGATGAAACAGTCATTACAATGCAGTCAATAATAGTAACAAAATATATTAAATAATTTGTCAATGATGAATCTATTACAGTTAGTTCCTTTTTTACCTTACTCAGGCATGACAGTAATGACCATGACTGCCACTGATTATGATGACATAAAAGAGGGTGAAAATGCAAAACTGACATATTCCATTGAACAGAATCCAGTTAATGAAAACGGAGAGTTGATCTTCGCAATAGACAAAGACAGTGGAGTCATCTCCACAGCAGTGTGCTGCCTTGATAGGGAGACCAATCCAGAGTACACCATTAAAGTTGTTGCTACAGATGGAGGAAGACAGTCAGGTAAGTGAGATTTGTGATTTTTGAATCAAATGCTATGGCACTTCATTTAAATGATGACTGACAATCGACCAAGACTTTAAATGATGATTGACATTTGGCCAAGAAAATATTGTGACCTTAACTTTTAAACTTATCACTTCATTGTTATGGTGTGAGTACCTTTTTCCAGCTGGCAAAGCATTATTATGATTAATTATACTTTTCAAAGGACATTAGTATTAGGCCTATAATGTTTTCTAACAGTGCATTCTTTATCTAGTCCCATATTCAAAGATTAAAAGAGTTTATGATAACAAAGATTTAAGCAGTATTCCACATCTTGAACAGCTGATAAATGGAAACAAGATCAAAGAATATGACTGCATTAATTCTGAGCTGGTTAAGAAAAAATTGAGAAGTTTAAAAAAATGATAAGGCTCCTGGGCCAGATAATATTTCCCCAAGGGTTATTTTTGGCAGTCCTTAAATAGTGGGCAGATACCAGAGAATTGGAAGTTAGCTAATTTAACTCCTCTTTTCAAGAGAGATGATAAAAATTGTCCCAGTAATTTTAGACCCATTAGTCTTACATCAGTTGTGGGAAAATGATTTACAAAGTCATTTATCAAAGTTTAGAATTTTATTGGATAGTCAACATGGTTTCACTAAGGAAAAATCTTGCCTTACATATCTTTTAGCATTCTTTGAAAAGGTTACTGCTTGCTTATGTATATGAGGGTAAGGGTGTAGATTTGGTGTATCTGGATTTTCAGAAAGCATTTGACAAAGTGCCACATAAAAGGCTTGTAAAAAAATTAGCTCTGTAGGTGTGGGGGATAAGTTAGCAAATTGGATAAAAGAGTGGCTGGATGGAAGAAAGCAGAACTTTGTTACAAATGGAGTTCAGTCAAACTGGATTAATGTCACAATGAGTTGGGCAAATAAATGGCAGATGGGTTTTAATTATTATAAATGCAAGATAATGCATGTGGGTTATCATAATTTGAATTATAAGTATAATTTGGATGGGAATAACTTTAATAGTGCTATGAAGGAAAGGGATCTTGGTGTAATAGTTGATCAGTTTCTAAAGCCATCCAAGCAATGTGCTGTTGCTAGTGGTAGGGCAAATAGGATTTTAGGTTGTATCTACAGAAATATTGAATACAAGTCTAAAGATGTTATAATTTCATTGTACAGGTCATTGGTTAGGCCGCATTTGGAATATTTTATTCAGTCTTGGGCTCCTTACCTGAGGAAGGACATTGAATTGTTGGAAAGGGTTACTAGAATGGTGCCTGGGATGGAGGGGTTGTAATATGAGGAGAGGCTGAAATCTCTTAAATTTTTTCTCTTGTTGGGGGGGGGGGGGTCTGAATGAGGTATTTAAGATTGTAAAGGGAATTGGTAGTGTTGATGTAAGGTAAGGTAAGAGTCATCTTCAGCTGAGACAGTTTTATTTTTCTAACAAGGTGGTTGGTCTTTGAAATGGGTTGCCTTCAGATGTTGTTGAGGCAGTAAATGTGAGTGAGTTTAAGAAAAAGCTTGATAAGTATATGAATGAAAAGGGCTGGGTGTTCAAAATTTTTATCATTATCTTAATTCAGTTTAGAGGATGGAGCCGTCGAGATGGACCAATAGGTTCCATGTTGTCCCAAAACATTATGTTATGTTAATAGTATTTCAATCACACTAAGTTTGCCATATCCATTACTGATAAAGATGTAGTGTTAAAAAATATTATTTGCCTACTACTGATGTTTTATGACAAGTTTGATTAATTATTTGTCACTTCATTGTCCAATACTTTAAGTGGATCATTTTCACTGCATTTCAAATTTAATCCAAGATCATTAACCTTGAGGTATTTCATTTTGCTAAATTAACCAGTCCAGCTTAAGAATAGAGCTGATCAGAGTTACCTAAAAATAAAGTAGCTTTAGGCATCATGTCTTCTCTGTGCAGGAAATTTACAAATAGCAGACAAAATTTAATAATATGAACTAGAATTCAGGAAAACAAAAACAATCAAGTGTAATAAATTGGAAAACAGTTATGTATACCAGTTTTCACCCCAAGATATAGTTGCTAGCTAGTAGTATATTTTGAAGTTGCTATTAGTAGAAAGACCTACCATTTCAGTTTGCCACTGTTCTTTAATTTTTATGGGCTAAAAATATGATAGCATTAGAAAAGAGTTAGAATAACCTGAATTCTAACCTACAAATAGGGTTAGACTAATGTAATGCATCTTAGGTATGTGAGAATTCACACTTAGAATTTCAAACATCATTAAAAAAGCATTTCTGAACCACACATAGATTTAAGCATTAAGTATCCATGAATGATACTGTTAAAGAAACCAGAATTAGTTATTGTAATATGTATTGCCTAAACAACATACAGCATCATGCAATGAAGACGATTACTACTTATTACACTTACATAAATAAACACTAACAATTTTTACTTCAGAAAACATTATATGGTAAAAATGATATAAAACTGACAACACCGGGTGTTTGAATTGTTGATTTTGCATATACGCTGTGTTATTTTTAGAACTAAAAATCTGTGCGTATTGTAGCATTTGTAATAGGTTACGCATTTCATTGTTTCATCAGCCATGGTAAATTTAAACACTTGTCTTCTTTTCTAGCTTGGCATTTCAAAAATTACCTAAAATTTGTCTGTAATTTCAAAATATTTCAGTTTTAATAATTTTGGTGTTTTGCAGTAGCTTGCAATTTGTTTATGTAAGTACCAAACCCTT